AAGAAGTACAAATTCATTGCTAGACTGACAAACCTGAAAGGGAAAGGGGCTGGGGGGGGGGGAGAAATAAACCAAAGAACTTATATGCATAACCAATGGACACAGACAATAGTGTGGGAAAAGGCGGGAGGGAGGCGGGAGTGGGGAGGAGGGGGTCAATGGGGGAAAAAATGTGGAACATCTGTAATACATTTTACATCCAACAATAAAGATTAAAAAAAAAAAAAAAAAAACATTGGTTCTTGGATTAAATTGGTGAATTGGGATGGTTTTTTTAATACAAGTATTCCAGCTAAGAAATTTGGAAGGACAAGATTATATTATCAACATATTGCAAGCCTTAACGAACTCATGGATTTAGGCAATGCTCATCAAAGGCTTCTAACGTCACAAAAAGAAGAGAAGCAGACATTACACATCTCCTGATAGAAGAATACAACACTATCTATGAAATATTATTCTTACCAAAAATTGCACCCGAATATAATCAAGCTTCTAGATGTAATGCACAGAAAATACAGAAGACAGAGGAAAACATGGGAATGCATTATCAAAACCCATATGGCAAAAAATATGAAATTTTTCTAAGGTAGGAAGAAAATATCTAGAATGGTGTCATAAACCGTTAAGCATTTTCTCTTGTGCTGGGTTTTGTGGTTTGCTGTGCGATCTGTGACACCCACGCTCATTCTGTATACAAAAAGGAAAGCTGTCTTTACTGAAGATGATCCAGAAGATGGCAGGGCAAGAGAGTCCCATACAGACGGAGCTGGACACACGGTGAGATTATCCATCTGTACATCAAACTTCCTTTTATTGTTTAAGCTGCTTTCAGTTGAGTACACTTTTACTTGTGACCCAAATCATCCTAATTTATAGATTTAAAAAGGATCCACATACTGTGAAATAGGACCACTTCCAATAAATGTATTTAAAAATTGAGGATCTATATATGCAAGTCTATCTATCATCCATCCATCTATCTATCTATCTATCTATCTATCTATCTATCTATCTATCTATCATCTATCTATCATCTATCTATATCTCTCTATCTATCTATCTATCTATCTATCTATCTATCTATCTATCTATCATTTATCATATGGGTTTTTTTCCATCAATTTATAAATAAAATCAATTTGAAGAGTAGGTAAAAGGTTTTATTTCTTTCTTTTTAAGTTGCACTAGACACATGTTTGAGTGTAATGTTACCCTCCAAACCTTTCCAGTCACCAATCATTGACAATCTTTTGATAGTAGCTAGTTACCAGAAAGATGATACTGTAAACAACCAAAGTGTTTAAAGTTTGTGCTCTGTAAACACTCAAAACTGGTGGTTTTGAACTTTGTGACTAGATCCACAAAAAGAACAAAACCCTTGCAACAATGTATCTTCTAAAGCTTATCTTTTGATCTTTCACAAATACCAAGTTAGGAAAAACATTTAGCGTAGATGCAGCCTGGGTTTTCTTCCTCTCTCATTTTCTACTACACTCTGATTCTTTCCCTACTCGTGATCAATACTAAGAGATTTGCAACTCGATGAGCCACTAGCCCACCCAAGTCCACCTGTTGCCATGACAGTGACATTGCTGCAGTAAATGATGTCCAAGAGGGGCCTGGGGAAAATTGTGTCTTTGCAAGTGGTTTATTAATAAGGAGTAGCTTAAACACCCATCTTCTCTAAGAGCGTATGGACCACATAAAAGTGGAGGGCTTGTGAACATTGTTTTGCTTCCACATTATTTTTATTTGTAGAATCAGGTAACAACCCATAAGGCTGATTTAGGACAAGGGCTCACAGTCAGTTGATTTGGGTTAAATCATTCCAAACAAGAGTGAGGAAGTAGGAAGAGCCAAACAGAAAATGAGGAAAAGGCAAAATAAGATGCGTCATTAGTTGGTCATTGCTATGGGCAACTGGGGTAGGAATCCTTCAGAGACCCTCTGAGGAGCGATGTGCAAGCGACCTCAGAATTATCAATCCAAGGAATGAAAGAGAGGAGTACGTGTCCATTCATTCCTGTCCTCCTTGGTCTAGAGTGGTCTGTGGGGTGTTCGCTCTGTCACACATCCGGGTAGCTCATGTGCGAGAATGAAAAGCGGGCTCCCGTGGGTGGACCACGCAGCTGAGGCAGCAGCGAAGCCCGGACGAGAAGCAAGAGACATGCCACGGCTCAGGCAAGGTGCCGCCAGTTCTCAGATGCAACCGATTGCTGGAGTTGAACAGCAGAGAGGACGGGGCGAGTCAAAGAGCTTTCTGTGGGATAAGCGCTCTCTCTAAGAAAACTATGTGTAAAATACTATGGAAAATTAAATGGGAAAAGGAAATTATTCTTGGGCTTTGAGACATGACTAGAGTGCTAAGGGCTTATAGTAATTGCTTTATCCATTTGCTACCCTTTTTCTTTTTAAGAACCAGATTAATTATATTCATTATCTCCTGCCCCAGAGTCTAACTTTTTTTTTTTTTTAAGAGGAAGCTGGCCCTGGCCAGTGAGTCTCAGTTGGCTGGGCATTGTCCCATGCACCAAAAGGTTGTTGGTTCCATTCCTGGCCACGGCACATGCCTGGGTTGTGGGCTTGCTCCCCAGTGGGGGAGGCGCAGGAGGCAGCCTATGGATGTTGTGCTTTCATATCCACGTTTCTCTCTCTCTCCCTCTCCCTTCCCCTCTCTACAAGGCAATAAAAATATTTTCTAAATAATAATTTTTTAAAAAGATGAGGAGAAAAAAGTTTTCTGCATCAAATGTTTTTAATGTCAATAAAAGTATTTTAGAGCTAAAACTCAAGAAAATATTTCCTCTGGATTGTGACTTATACTTCAGTGGCAGGGAGAGGGCGTGGAAAGGCACCTGAATAAATGCAAGCACTGTGCAATCTATTTGGGTGCGAAGGGACAGTCTGCATGACACGGTAGTGAGCAATTCAAAACCCAGCGAGCAAATGCATACACACATACTATTCAACAAAGGAATGATTACTCTTTAGTGATCCTCAAGTTGGAAAACAAATTTGAAACAGCTATTACTAACACCCACTCTCAAATATTAAGTTTCTACAGTGTGCATTGTTTGTATCTTATTAATGGACAACTTTTCCAAAATTCTGTAAACTACATGTTCCTTTGAAAAGAAAATGTTTATATAACATGTGTTTGCTTGCTTGGTATTGAAAGAAGGAACATGTTTCTTATCTAGATTTTTTAAAAAGTTGAAATGTTAAAAAAACATTAAACAGATAAAAAATACAGAATTTGTTTCAGAAAGCTCACAAACCACAACATTCAAATTCAATATTTATATGGCTGTGATTGTGATCTAGAATATGTGGGTTCTCTATTTCCCCCCATATTATAAACAATCATGATTTATATCTGAACCTGTGATCCAGAGTGATTGATTCACCTGTAAAATGAGGATACTCTTAAATGTATCTTATGTTTTGTCCTGCTAGTTTTATATGCATTTATAAAATTATTTCAGGTATCATAAATCATACTATCCAAAACTAGCAGCTTGTTACCATATCAAATTAGTTATTTGCTACTGTCAATTTTAAAAATAATTTCTGAATTTAATCAAAGATGCCTGACACTGCCACCATGATACATAGTTATAGCGGCTCTTGTAAAAGTCGGCATTTACCTTACACCAGCTCTTTTCAGATAGGGAAGATACTTAATACATGGGAAAAAATGTCAGTTGATAAGTCACATTGAACCAGCACTAATGATTGTTTAATGGGATAGCATAAACTTGAAGTGAACACCATTTTATTTACAGCTTATTTTATAACAGTATTTTATTAAGGTATACTTTACATATAGTAAAATCACAAATCTTAAAATCTGTACAGCTTGAGGAATGTTGACAAACGTGTGCAGGTATATACCATCATCCAGATCAAAATACAAAACATTTCAAGCACCCCAGAAAATTCCCTCACACCCCTTTTCCAGGTTATTTAAATCCCCTGCCGTTATGCAGATCAGCTGTGGCTGATTCAGGATAGCCAAGTGTTGCCTATAATTGACCTTCACATAAAAATAATTATACAGAATGTTTTATCTGGCTTGTCTTTCTCAGCATAATGCTTCTGAGATCTGTCTGGGTTTTTGCATGCATCAACGGGCCATTCTCTTTTATGAGCAATATTCCATGGTCTGCCTATATCAGATTATCCATTTTCCCATGGATAGAACTTTGTTTACAGTTTGGCACTGTTATGAATAAAGCTGCTTTGAACATTTTTCTTGAGTATATATCTAAGAATGAAATTGCTCAGTCATAGGGTAGGTATGTATTTAACTTTATTAGAAATTGCCAAATAGTTCCTGAGTGGCCGTACCATTTTACATTTCTACCCACAGTGTAGGAAAATTCCAGTTACTTCACGTTTTATTAATGTTTGGTATTTTCAGTTTTTTTCTCTTTTAGCCAATTAGCCATTGTGCATATTTTGTAGTTTTAGTCAATCAGTGGTATCTTGCTGTGGCTTTAACTCAAATTTCTTTGATAAGTGAGGCTGAGAGCCTTTCTATATACTTACTGGCCCTTTGTAGACTTTCCTCTGCAAAGTGTTCAAGTCTTTTGTTCCTTAACTGGCTTGTCTTTTTATTACTGATTTTCAGTTGTTAACATATTCTGGGTAAGAGTCCTCTGTCAGATATGTTTATTTTTAATATTTTATCCCAATTTTTGGCTTGCTTTTTCACATGCTTACTGGAGGCTTTTGATGAGGAGTAGCTTTTAATTTTGATGAAGTCCAATTTAGTTATTTTTTCTATTTAGTGGGTGCTTTGTATGTCCTATTTGAAATTTGCCTCCTCCAGATTGTGAAGATTTTCTCCTGGAATTTTTTATTTCATCACCAGTCACATTTAGGTTCACCTTTTTGTAGGATGTTAGACAGAGGTCCAAGTTCCTTTTTTTGGCCGGGGGGGGGGGGGGTGGGTTCCAGTTATACCAACACCATTTGTTGAAAAGACTATCCTCTTCCTTTTCAATACACTGGCACCTTTGTCACAAATCAACGGACTCTATATAGTTCTCTTTCTGGTTTCTCTATTCTTATTCCATGATGTATTTGTCTAAAGATTCAGGTAGTATAAGTCCTCCAACTTTATTAAGTTTCAAAATTGTTTTGGCTAAGGTTCTTTGCATTTCCACATAAAATTTGAATCAGCTTGTCAATTCCTCCCCCCACCCCCCAAAAGAAACCTTGTAGGATTTTTAACCGAGATTGCATTGAATCTATAGATGACTTCGGAGAAACCAATTAGACAGCGTATTCCCTCCAGATAGCTTACTCCACTGTGCTGTTGGGAACCCAGGCTTCTTTGTCTTTCCACTCAGCTATCCTTGGGTTGGCTCCTCATTGACACAATGTAGCTAATGTGTTACATCAGGGATTCATTCTGCAATTCAGGAAAAAACGCGGGGGGGCGGGGGGGGGTGTGAAGGACAAATGGTGTAGGATGAATCTTTCATCTATAAAGTATCTTTTCTTGAAGCCCCACTGAACATTATATACTTATATCTCATTGATGTGAACTGTTTTATAGGGTCGTGTCCATCTGCAAAAGAATCTGGGAAAATGTAGTGTTTGAGCAGGGCTCCTAAAAAATATAAGTTTTGTTAGCAAAGAAGAGAAGAAAGTATGTTATTGGGTAGGCAACTAGGTATCTGTATAATTTAAAAGGTTCTTCAGCAAAACTGCTAATCGTTGAGTTCAGTGTGCTGGAGAAGGACTGGGTTTGGTAAGGAATCTCAGATGCTCTACTAGATGGCTTCAAGCTCTGAAATATGTTCTAACAGAAAATTTGAAGACTGCAGACCAGGGTATCTGATGTTTACAAAATAAAATGAGTGCATTCAACACATTGTCTAATAGCATTAAGAACATGGCATTTCCTTATCAATAAAAGCAGAAGTTGTTACCTGAATTTTATTCCTTCTACAAAGTATACATAGTCATAAGACAGAAAAAACAGCTAGTTAAATACCACACATATCTTAATGATGTCTTAGAAGATGGGGATTTCCTGTTCAACTGAAACAGGTCATTGTTTTCTACCCAGTGAGTCAAGAATTAATGTACATTACATGGAGTTCAAAAATGTGCAAATAAGATGTTCCTGTCTCAGGCTGGCTGACATTTAGGGAAGTGGGAAGAGACATAATGATTTGATTGACAGAGTCAGGGGTAAGGGTGATGCTGAGCAGGTGACAGAACTCACTGACACTATGGCTCCTGGACTAAATGACTCTGAAAAAAAGTTCAAGTCTGTAGGTACAGTCATCAACAAACTTTCCTTTTCTTGTTAATTTTACACACAATTTGCCAGAGAAATACTATATTTTCATTGACCTTATGAAAATATTTATTGTTGGAATGTTTTCATGGTATCTTGAAAGGGATTATACTTATTGATTTACCTTAAAAGTTACAGAGAAGAAATGATCGCTATGGTCGTCTGCTGCACTCCTATACATCTGGTGTCCCTGTGGGCCACAGGCTGGCTTCTGGCTGTTTCCAGTCTTCTCCAAGCAGGGTGTTAAAACTGAAAGGTTTGAAGTATTCTAGACGATGGCTAAATGCAAAGAAAAAGAAGGAACTGAAATGAATTAAGCTTTTGTGAAATACTTGCCCTGCAGGGCTATTCATTCTGTCACATCTGTGATAGAACATCCTATTTTAAGAATACCAAAGGTAAAATATATTCTGTATGTATAATTTTCTCACTCTAGCTTCAAACATTCATCTCTGAAAACATTCCCTCATATCCCAAAGCACTTAAAATCAACCTTCAAAACCTGACTCATTCCATTTAGCCTTAAACAAATTGTATTATATTCTGACACATGTTTTCATATTTCAACTTTGATATCATTTATATCAGTCACATAAATAAGTGTTTTAAAAAGTTTCAGCTCCACAGGTCAGAGGACAGACTCCTTCGCCAAAGCACAGGAGGGTAAAAGAGCGTTAATCCTCGCTCTTTTCTCCCGGGAACACACTTATCGATTATGGAGATTTCCACTGGGGTTAATGAGGAGAGAAAGGTCTGGCTAGCTCCAGTGGAACTCAGCTCTGCGGGAAATCAGTGCCTTGGCTCTGCCCTGGCCAATGGTATAATCACACTTTCACCTAGGGTAAGCCTCCGATAACATAGAAATTGAGGAGCCAAACATAACATCAAGGAGCTGGGCTGTAAGAAGATACTGGGAGGTGAAGAGCCAGAGAAACAGGCCATCTTGATGTGAGGGCCGAGTCATTTGCATCTAGATTCTGGGCCCGTTCTGTTCACCTGGCCAGACTGAACCTGTCTGAGTCACAACTGTCAATCCCAGACAAAGAGGTTAAGGAACCGACAGCGAAGATTTAGAGAGAAGAAGGGAGAAAGAGGCTGGTTAGAAAGGGTTGGGACTGGGAGAAAAGCAGAGGAAAGGGGAAAGTGCGTCAGGTAGAAAGAAAGGAACGGGCTAGAAGAGAGGAAGGCAGACTGAAGAAAGAGCACGACAGGAAGGAGAAGGCACAGGGAGGAGGGGCAGCCACATGCTAATAAAGAAAGGGAATCGGACATTATCAAGCATAATAAACTAGGGAGCTGAACGGGACGCTAAGTCTGCTGCAGTAGGAAGTTGCAGCATTCATAGGCTCCCCGGGGACCATTGCATGGGGACCTAATCCCCAAAATAGGCAGGAAGGTTCATAACCAGTCATTACTCGAAGGAAAAACAGCAGGAGAGCATGGCCGCTGTGGCTCAGTGGTTGAGCATCGACCCATGCACCAGGAGGTCACTGGTTCAATTCCTAGTCAAGGCACATGCCCAGGTTGTGGGCCAAATCCCCAGTGGGGCGCATGCAGGAGGCGGCCAATTGATGTTCTCGCTCATCAATGTTTCTCTTTCTCTCTAAAATCAATTAAAAAAAAAAAAAAACCAGCAAGAGAAATTTCTCTGCTGGGCACATACCCAGAAGAAGCCAAGGTGGCCCTGGGGGAGGTAAGCACATGCGCAGTAGGTGCCGAGACAGTGACGAGACAGTGACGAGAGAGACCTGTCAGTCTAGCCTGGGAAAAGGATTGGATTGGATAAAGGACACAGAACCCCAGATCTAGGAAATGGATTTGTTAGGGGCAGGGACCACTAGAAACCCACAAAAGACTGAGAAGTTGATGGGTTAGTGTGAAAGTGCACCTGGTCCTTTCCTGCACAGACTCCAAGCGGGTGCCTGGCACAGCGCCAGCCTGAACACAGCTGGGAACACTGAGCCAGCCAGAGGACAGGGACTGGACTGGACTACACCCATGGCACAGAATTTATAGACACTGGCCTTGGCTCTGGGCTTGATGAAGACAAGGCTGGACTTCTTTCACAGTGAGGCAGAGCTGAACCTGGGGCAGTCCATTGATTTTCCTTCTACAACAAACCTTACCACTGCCTCTTAGCTTCCCCTTCATGGGTCTCCCAGAATGCTCTCCTTGCAACTCCGTGAAAGGACCCCATCTCCACTGGCAACACTAGGATGTCTCTGCTGGGCTCTTCTGGACACACAGACTCACCAGCTGTCTTGGCCACACGGAGTACACTCAGAGATCTAGACAGCAGGGGTCCCAATTTGCCCCAAGACAGCATCTGGCTTTCCTCCCGAAGGGATTAGAGCTTGCTGCAGTCCATGAAGCATTAACAGGGCTGGCCAGGAGCTATATTCTTCTTAGGTGACAGCTTCAAAGAGATAAGACTCAAATTGGGCAAGTGTAGGAGCTACCTTGTGGGCTTCCACGCCTGCTACCCACAGGGGCCAATCTCTCTTCTAAGTCCACAGGCATAGCCTGTAGGGTCTCCACGGGGAACACAACTGTTAAGGGGCGATCCAAAGCCATGCTGTCCCCATCAGATATTTATTGTTTATTCATAATACTATCTGTCCAGATGCAATTTACCAATTAGGAATCATTTTTAACACATGCCATGTTGCCTAGAAACCTAGTTGACATTTTTATCCTTATGAGGTTACCAAGGGAAGAAAGCTAGAGAGTTAACTGAAGGTCACGTTCTCAAGCAACAAGGGAAAGAATTCACTAACTCTTTGTTCACACCAAGAATCTGGGTATCTCTGGCCATTTAGCTCGGAAAGGGACCATAAACGAATTTGCCACATTACTCCTATACCAGCTGTTGCAATATTCAGTAAGCAAGATTTTTCTCATACTGCTATGGGAACATAAGCATTGTACGACGGCAGTGAGACTGTCTGCCCACAGTCAGTGTGTCAAGCATGTACTGAGGACCTTCGGGGACACAGTACCTTCCAAATGCTTGTACACATAAGACTCCTTTCACCAAAAAATGTTATCACGGCTCCACCAAGAATTAATTTCCAAAAAACTCTCACAGTTGGAACACATCTTCATTCATTTTCAACTTACAAATCAGGTTTTTGTCCTGGTTGCAGTGCATGCTGAGGTACAGGGTAAAGAGCCTCATAGCTTCTTTTATCCTTTGATCCATGAATGGCAAATGAATTGAATTTTGTCACATTTGGTGGAAAATAACTCCAAGGAAGATAAGCTCTGCCTTCCCATTTTGTCTCTCCTCTGGACACTTCGAATGATAGAGCAAGTTCTTGCTACACAAACGATATGTGAAATATAAAAGGTGAATTCGTATTTATACTTTAAACAAACATGTTAAATATATTATATTCATAGATGTTCTATACTGAAGAACTTTGATATTATTTTTTACTTACTTTCCACACATTTCTTCTTCCAGATAATAAAAGCACCAAATGCTGTCCATGGCTGTCAAAATTAAAATTCCTCATGAGTGTTTGAGAAAAATAAACATAATTTTCTTCATTATTCTTCATATCTGCAAAGTGTGTATTTGTAACTAAATTTCCAAATAATGTAAAGATGCAATATGAATACTGGATAATCAGAAGAGCAACGAGGGTGTTCAGTGACTTAGAAATGACATCGTTGAGTTTACCATTTTCCAGATAATTATAGTCAAAAACTACACATGTTCAGATTGCTTTAAATCTTCAAATATAAAGTTATATAAAAGATTTCAGTTGGTTAGATGATGCAAAGTAAGCAAAGGGGTGGGGGGACTCATGGTGTTTCGAGTTTATAATAAAACCAGTTTCCAAAACTAAAGTACCGAAGAGAAGCAGGTACCAATTTCCAGGTTGGAATCCAGCAGCTTTATTAAAGGTTTTTTCTATAAGAAATCTGTCCTCAAGCTCATTAGGAAGAAAGAAAATACAAAATATAGATGGTCTGAAACTGTATTTGTCTGCCTCCTGTGTTTTTCTGCTTTCTACCATTCTTTCAGACACCAACCTCATATTTTTAAAGAGAAATACAATCTATCCTCAAAAGGAAACTCTAATAAAAGAACATAATTGGGACTCGCCAGGTCAATGAGAATCAAAGACTTCCACGTAGTTACATGAAACAAACTTGTTGTCTCTGGAAAAGACTATATCTGAACATTTCTACACAGACAGTCTATAGCGAGCTTTTCAGTGAGGATTTCCTTCAGCAAACTGTTCTCACAGATGAGAAGAATTCTTTCCCTCTGCTTATTTGTATTGTTATTATGCAAGCTTAGAATATCCTAGGAGAAGTGAAAGTTCTTGTAAATGAAAACAACAAAATTCTCCACATTGCTTTCCTAGGGATGACTGCTTGAAGGAAAACCAAGGTTCTCGGTAATTGACTGTCCTGATATACATGAAACCAAACTACTTTGAGAATTTCTTTTTACTTTTAGAATTTATTAATTTTGTACACTACAGTTATTACGTAATATCTTAACAAAAGAGGATCTAATTATCCTATTCATCCAGTGCTAAATCATGAGTCAAAATATACTTGTATTTTTATCTAATAAAAGTAAAACTAAGGATGAAACTTTAGAACTCCAGTAGAACCAAGTTCTTTACTGTCTTGTAGACTATAAATATATATTTGCCTTCATTTTCTCACTTGTATGGTGAAAATAATCACACAACAGGTGAAATTTGTTTGCCTCACGTGACAGCTTAAGACAATTAATCATACTTTCAATAAAAGATTTTGGCTGAAATGTGACACACAAAGATATATAGTTATTCTTCTGAAAAATATAATTGCAAACAGCTAGACTTTCCATATTGGAGTTAGCAAAAAATCAAAATGAGGGAAAACAAAATGATATCTAAAATCTCATTTCAATCAATTGTTTGGGACTCTCTGCCCAGCCTACAAAGGGACAAAGGCTACTTGATATTAGATACTGAGAGGCATTTAAATGACATTTAAAATGAATAGTCACAATACAAAAAAAAAATTCATTATTAAATATTTTACTAACTTAAAATTTGTTATAATATAAATGGGAGGTGGGCATAAATTTACTTTTTCACATCTACTGAACAAAAATTTTCAACCAGGTAAAGAAGGTTCCCAAGGGAATGGTTAAATTGGAAGAGTCCAACGTTAATACTTTATTTATTTATTTTTTATCCTCACCCAAGGACATTTTTGCATTCATCTTGAGATAGAACAGGAGGGTGAGAGAGAGAAACATCAATGTGAGAGAGACACATCAACTGGTTGCCACCCACACGATCCTAACCGAGGCCGGGGACAAACTGCAACTGAGGTACATGCCCTTAGCGGGAACTGAACCCGGGTCTCTCTGGTCTGCAGGCTGGCACTCTGACCATTGAGCCAAACTGGCCAGGGCCCAAGGTTAATACTTTAAATGAGTTAGGGAAAGCCATATGTGATGTATCCCTGGCACCGAATGCAAAGTGACATAGTAAACACTCAATACAGGAATGATGACTAAATGAAGGAACACATGAATACATTACTATGGAACACATAAAATGAAAGTGTAATCCAGTCATTTAAAAAACTCCCTAGCCCTGGCCGGTTCAGTTCAGCGGTTCGAGCGTTGGCCTGCAGACCAGAAAAAAAATCCCTAAAAGATACATTTTCATAAACTAGTTCAATTTATTCTATCTATATGTCTCCTTTTATTTCTGAATAGCTAGTACATGATAATGCAAATTTATAGAGTAAATAAGGAGTTTCTGTTTTATAATAATTTTTCATTACAGAAAATTATTTTCTAATTTATTAGAAAAACTGACTACATAGTAAAATGAAAATAATGTCAACATAATATTTTCAAATATTTACAACATATACAGGTGTGGAAAAAGTAGGTTTATAGTTGTTCGTATAGCAAATAATACGGTAATTACATAATTCAGATGAGCATTTCCCTTAGTTCATCGAAATTAGTGAGTTTTTACTATGACCACATGATTTATAACTAGAAAACAATATGTTCAAGTTATGTAGTAATTAGAAGAAAAATTGTACACTTACGGGCAAAGTTCAACTTCTAAGTACTGTTCCGTTATGTCATTCAAGAAAAATGTTTCCACAACTTTTGAAAACAGATACATAATATATTGAGAAATTTAATTATGCTTCAACAATAAATAATTTCTTTATTCCTTTAGAGTATAAAATAAATTGACTCATTATTTTTAATTATAGCTCTATCCCCAGTAGGAAAAGGGACAAAGAAAATAGACATTGCCTAGAAATAAATCATCCTCAAACTTTCCTATATCAGATGGCCATAAATTTAAAAGATTAAAAGATTAATAAAATACTGGTAAGGTTGTAAAGAAATTAACATGATCACACAGACTTTGAACCAGTTATCTTTTTCTAGGAATTTATCCTTAGGAAATAATCAGACAATTGGAAAAAGAAGTAAATATAATGCCAGTCATCAAAGTATTGCTCAAAAATTGGAAATTATCTAAATGATTATCTCCTATTCTATAGGATTGTTGCCTATTATATAAATATATCTTCTATTATATAGGAAAGCTAGTACATAAATTATGGAATTTATGTATTCTGTGCAATAGACTCTAATGCAACCATTAAAATCAAAGACATGGCTAAGTATTTTTTGACATGGAAAGACATCCATGATATTTGATAAGTAAGCTACAGCAAATCAGCAAATCAGAAACCTTTCAATGTATTAATAAGGATGTTGCAGAGAAAAGGGGCCAGGTCATGAAAACTCTTATATAGAAATCATATTAGGAAGAATAAAACTTATCTGGGGAGAAGCAAAAGCCTAAGAAGGTTTTTAAGTAGCTGAATGATTACTTTAAATTTTTAACTGAAACAGATCACTCTGGCTTCCAAGAGGGAAGGATGGACTTAAGGGCAAAAAGACTATTTGGAAGGTTCTGCCCTAGCTGAGGTCAAAGATAATGAAGGCCTAACCTATAGCAGAGATGGAGAGAATGAAGAGGGAGTACTAAATTAGAGAAACATTTAAGAAGGGAAATTGATAGGTCTAAGTAAATAAATCCAAATATGGAGAGTGAGAGGATATCTTAAAAAATCTCACATGTCTATATCCGATGATGTGATGTGCTGGAATGCCATTGACTGAGATTGGGCAATTAGGAAAAGAACAGGTTTATGAGAAAAGTAGGTAAGTTGAGTTTGGGACTTGTTGCGTAGATAAGTCACACTGGTGTATACACCAGTGGGAAGCTGGTATATTCAAGCTTTATATCAATAAAAGACAACATATGTTTAACATTTGATAAATTAACACTGACATGTCATACAGATGGTATAGAGAAAGTAGATGTTAATAGGGACTAGAAGAGGCATCAAAGGTTTTTTGGCCTTGGCCAGTGTGGCTCAGTTGGTTGGAGCATCCTTCCATGCACTGGAAGGTCATGGGTTCGATTCCTGGTCAGGGCACATACCTAGGTTACAGGTTCCAACCCCAATAGGGGAGCACGTGGGAGGCAACTGATAAATCTCTCTCTCTCACATCATTGTTTCTCTTTCTTTCTCTCTCCCCTTCTCTCTCTAATATCAATTTTTAAAAACAGGTTTCTCTGAATAAATGGAACCTGATTTAGACCTTTAACTATGTGCATAACAGGGCAGGGGGAATAGACTGAGAAACAGTACATGGCTGAGAATATGCATGGATAGTAACACCACTGCCTTTTAGAAGTCAGGAGCTTTTAGTTGAATATTATAGCCCAATTCATGGTACGCTGAAAGTTTATAGAAAGGGTTTGAAGTTAATCTCAGGGATAGTAATGGTTTGTGATCTGGGGAATGGCATCATAAAGAGTCTTTTAGAAAGATAAGTTTGGTAGCTTAATTAGGAGACATTAGATGGAATCATATCGCAAACCTAAAACTGTAAATTTATGGTGTCTTTTAACCTTCATTTGATACGTGAGATTACTTGTCAGTACATATAAAATAAAAACTACATTTCATGTTGAAGTTGATGGTGTTTCTATAATAAGTAAAACACCTCAAAACTTCCATAAAGAAGGTTTATAAGGTTAAAGTGGCAATCTAAAGATACTTAAAGACAAAACAAGAATTTTGAACTCTTCTTAAAACAGGTAACAGAAGTAAAGGAAAGACACATGGCAGCAATTTAGAAATCTGGATTTGTAATTGCCATTTTTCACTGTTCTAGTTATATCGCTGAAGTCACAAAGTAACGGGGAAAAAGTCAGAATGAGAGATTGGTAGGAAATATCACACATTGCATATGTCAGTTGCTCAGAAGCACTCACTTCCTTACGGCAAGATAAAATAATAGCTCTGTGAGAGGTTATTATAAAAAGATTTATGTTTGCAATAAAATACAGCACTTCCACTTACCTTCATAATCCCACAGTTCATTGAAAGGTTTTCCTGGTTCCCCAAGTGGAGCTGGAGGATCATTGAAAAATGGAGCACTAACTTTCAACATCACTCCTCTGTCACCTGGATTCAGCCTCACAAACACTGGCTCATGCTTCACGGGAGAACCATCCCAAGTGTGTTCAATTTTAAAATCCATCTTTAGACTCTGAAGGAAAAAAAAAAAAGACATATTAAACAAGCTCTTTAACAATATTCAAATGTTTGCTTTAGTTAGAAATGAAATGAAAATGTCCATGCCCTATAAGCAGGCAGGACGGCAGCGGAGTGGCCAGAACACAGTTCTGAGAGTTCAAAGGCCATTTGTGTTATGGCAAATCATGGACCCTGTGTTCTGCTGTAAAATACGTAGTTGGACCCTAAAAGCTTTGAGACTTTAAGTCTAAACCCAAAGTCATTTTTTAAAGTTGTAATTAAGTCCAGTGCAGAAACTGTTCTGGGAACCAAGATCTTCATAATAAAATTCAATTTGATAAAAAAAATTCTATAAATCAGCAGAAGCACTGCTGTTAACACCTATTCTTTTGGCTAAAACCCTTTTTTTCTTTTTTGGGGGGAAAAGAGAGGGTTCGAACCATTTGAAGGTTAGTATTGTCTTCCTTGTTCTCAGGGTATAGAATTTCTTAGTCTATTTCAAAGTTTAAATGATGGTAGATTCTTTTTCCATTTAAAAAAATTTTTTTTTCTTTATTGACTTTAGAGAGAGAGGAAGAGAAAGGGAGAGAGAGATAGAAACATCAATGAGAGAGAACACTGACTGGCCACCTCCTGCATGCCCCCCACTGGGGATTTGGCCCACAACCTGGGCATGTGCCCTGACCGAAAATCGAACCAGCGACCTCTTGGTGCATAGGTCAACGCTCAATCACTCAGCCAGACCGGCAGGGCCTTTTTCCATTTTTCAATTGGTGAAAAGGAATTAACCAAGCAAGTGGTCATTTAACACTTGAAATATCAAAAACTAAAAAGGCTAAAGTACATGTAACACAAGCAGTATTTGCATTTTACATTGTTTTTCTAAGGATTAAATGGAAGAACATAGTATTATATTAATAAAATTACATTTTGTTGAAAACTATGAATTGGGGATTTTATAAACATTATCTAATTTAATTTCACAAGAAACTTACAGATGAACTATTATTATCCTCATTACAAATGAAGAAACTGACTTGTCCAAGGTCACGTGGCTGGCAAATCAAGACAATGAACCAATGTCAGCCATGTTTTCCCAGATGAAGTCACTTCAGGAATCTGCAAGGAGATGAAAACCTATTTTAGGAGTAGTGGATTCTCCAAATTATACCAGGTCTTTATAGTCTTTATGCCTTGTTTGGAGGATAATCTTGATTAGTCCATGATGATATTTTCCGACTACAATTTACATATCTGAAGTCTTTGAAGGCATTTCCTTGTTCCATGTCTTATTTTTACTGCAAGTAATAAAGTACTAAATTTCGAATACATTTATTTCAGTGAATATGTATGAAGTACCAGTTATGTGCCAAGCATTGGGAGACCCAAATATATAAGCTCTGTTTCACATAAGGAATCCAACATCTCTGAAAACTTTTTTTCTAAAGTATGTAGCTTTTGCTAATTTTTAGTACAAGCTAACAAATTTTAATAGATGACCTCTAAAATTAAAAAGTAGTTTTAGTATTGCAATCCATTTGCAAGTAATAACATTTTAAAACGGATAAATTCAGCAATTTATATTGAAATAAGATCAGTGAGTGATAAGACTGTATAAATATAAATTGATGTGGAATTTAGTATTGACTTGGCATGGAATAAAATACCTCAATAATACGTTTATTTTCTTTAGTTAAAATATCCAGATACTTTCTCCAAAAATAAATGTATAACTCTCTACCCCAAATTTTGATACTAGTAAGTACCTTCTCATAGCTTTTAGAAAGAAAGAATAAATCAAAGATACTAGAAATGCTCATTATATCTGATTCTGGCACCAATATGCTGAGAGAATATGCTATCCTCCTAACTTGGAGCTTGACAATTCTTGACAATCCTGGCAAAATATAGTTGAGCAACAAGGAAGTTTTGGCTCCCCTTTTTTTCTTTGAGCACTGTTTGAAAATTACTGCTAGAAATATTGACTAAACTTCCACCATCAGGGAGGAGGGCTGTGGATGACATGTCCAAAGGTAGAATATAGTTTTTGCTTTAATTGCATACAATGACTTTATTTTCTTATCAGAATGACAAAGTTGTTATTTTGCTTAAAGAACACTCATGTCGATCTAACTTTGCATAATACTGACAGCAAAACTAAACTAAAAAGTATAGTCTTACTAACTAGTTTACAATGTAATAAAGAGAACATGGATGCAGAAAAGACAACTGATTTTCTTTTCCGCTGCCTGGAGATAGCTCAGACTGTCTCCTGAGGCTTCACCCCACCACCTTTCAATTTCTCTGTTTGTACACGTGCCCACAGGAAGTAGGGACAATTAAGTGGTCACACCCTTCCCAGTGGGCGCTGGTGTGCTTCCCAGCAGCACGGGGCTCCCTGTATTCTCTATCGCCCCCACTCTGCTCCATTTTGACTCACAGTACTTGAACCGCATGACGTCTTTGTTTAGTGTCTCTGCTTCCCCCAGCTAGAATGCCTGTCATAGGAACTCATTTATTTGTTGACTGAATAATTGTTCTAGTCTCTGGATCTAAAATGTCATGATTCTAAGGTTTTGTGCAGGAAAGATCAGCTGTGTTAGTGGCATCATTCTCTCTTTCAATGCTACATACCAAACAGTGGCAAATAACTAAGATGATGGATCACATCTAGAAATTTCCTTTCAATTTAGCTTATCAAAGGTTTATTAGCTACTTGCTTTGTTTCAGACACCATGCCAGGTGCTAGGGAAATAAAGTATAAGAAAGAGGTCTATGAAGAGTTGAGCTAACTAACCAGGTTTATTATCAATTGGTTCATTTTGCACTCCAATGTAATAAAGTTGGGTTCCTACAACAAACTAAGTTTTAAATGAATGAAAGATTTAAACATAAAAAACAAACCATATAAAAAACAAGATGATTTTTAAAAAGATGATCATATAATAGAAAAGACCTTTTAAAATATAACCCCAAACCCAGAATACATAAAAGAAAAAACTGACAGATATATTTGGCTACATAAAAATAACAAAATTAAAAGCAGAAGTTTGCCAAACAAAATAACAAAAAACCCTCACCATTTCAAAATCAAAATCTGGAAGAAAAATATCTGCAACTCATATTTCAGACAAATAACTAATTTCTTTCCTCTTTAAAGGGCTCCTAGAAGTAAGGAAAAGACCAACATCCCAACAGAAAAATGGGGAAAGAAATGAACAGCCAGTTCACAGAAAGAAAATGCAACATGTTCAACCTCACTTACAATGATAGACAATAAATTACTATTTTTCACTTAGATTGTCAAGGATCAGAAAGCTTGATGACATGCTAATGAGGACACAGAGACGCAACCGCATACTGCTTTGGGGTGTAACTGGCACAGCCTCTGTCAAGGGTGATCCCTTAATAACTATCTAAATAAAAAATGCAAATATCCTTTTACTCAACAATCCTAGTTCTAGGAGTTATTAGAGCGGCACGTATTCAACAGAAGTATAAAGATATTCACTGCACTATTGTTTAGAAGAACAAAATATTGTAAGCAACTTAAATACCCATCAGTAGAGGCCTGGTAGAGAAATTATGCTATATCATATAAAGAAATACTACATAGCTGTTAAAAAGAGTGAGGCAGCTCTATATATACACCTAAATATACTAAGTGAACAGAAGCAAGGTGCAAAAAGAGAATCCATTTAATAAAAAGGAAGACCATTTGTATGCATGCTTGTGATGCGTACATTATCTCAGAAAGCATATACAAGACGCCAGTGGTAACAGTGGTTGCCTCTTCGGATCTGCCTGGGACAGGGGAGGAAGGGAGACTTACTTTCAACTGTATCACTTTTGCTTTTTTACCTATTTGAATTTTATACTATGACAGACACGCATCACTATTCAAAAATAAATGAATAATTTTAAACTATTTTTTTAAAGTCCCGTTTAAGACTAGGTCTCTTTAAAGAGTATGGTGGCTATCTCTTTTCCCCTTTATATTATATATGCTGAACATGTCTAAAAAGTCAGAATGCATATTAGCAACATTACTTACAGAATATATTAATTCGAGGTCACCACCCTGTTACGTAATTCTAATGTTGGCTGTTTAGACTTTCTTAAAAGAATGTTTACTGTTAATCTCCCCCCCCCCCACACTTATAACTGCTATTCCTCAAATTACTCTCTCATCAAAAAGTAAAAAATAATTTTAAATTATTTTCATGCTTTCCCTGTACTGTGTAAAGACCTTTAAAAGGAAATGAAGGAAGACAAAAGAGACAGGGCCTCGGAGCATCAGAAGTTTAGGAGAGAAAAAAATTCCACGAAAGGTAAAAGAAGGAAGTTGTGGAAAAGGTGTTTTCTCAACACAATGCTTTGCAAGGAAAATCTCCAAAGGCCTCTAATCATGAAATTTTCTTTCGTTTTCTACAAAAAAAAAAAAAAAAAAGATTTCTCTTCAGTTTCCATTCTACCCCTCCCCCCCCTTCTCCAATGAAAAGAGAAGAGAGAAAGGAGGAAGTCGGGCTGAAAGTGGGGGGAACTGTGCCAGCAGGAGGCAGCCGGAGGCAGCGCCTTACCAGAGAAAAGGCTAAGGACAAGGCTGGGGGAAGGCGCAAGGAGTGAGAAAGAAGAGAAAGCATAACAAGAAGAGAACACAGACCGGAAGCTCTGCTCAGTCCACCTGGCTCCCTCCTTCCACCTGCGATCCCTGGACAGGGCTCGGCCTTAGGCTCCGCCCTAGGCTCCGCCCAGCTGCCTGCACTCTGGGGGAGGGACTTGGAGGGCTGATGCACACGCCTGATTTTTCTAGGAAAGAAAAGTGTTGAAAGATCACCAGTGAACATCTTAAGACTCTTAATTCTACTGAAGTGTGAGTGGTTTTCTAGATGGAAGAGTAACCCCCAATATAAATCCTGTGCAACAATTTGAAAATCAACTGTAAGTTATTAAGATTAGAATAGAACATGTACAGTGATGATTCAGTAAATGCAACTAAAGGCTTACCTATCTGTATAAGCCAAACCTGGAAATTATATTATACTAGCTATAAATAACATTACCCTAGCTATAAATTATATTACTCTACTGGGAGGCATCTACCTAGTGGACAATGATAGTGACAATGGGACCAGACTGCCTGGATTCAAACCCAATTCGGGCACTTTCCAATTGTGATCATCATCAAGCTATTATAAAAAAAAAAAAATAGCACCTACCTTAAAAGGCTTTTGTAGGAATTAAATTGGGATATATAGAGATATAGATATAGATGTAGACATACATATAGATATAGATGCACACATTATTGAGAACAGTGCAGTGCCTGGCACATAGCACGTATTCAAAAAAGGTTATCTATTTATTATTAAAGTATATAGGTTTGCTTAAAGAAAAATTTGTTTTTGTTCAAATCATTAATCCTACATGTTTCTGAGGTGGTTATCTTTTTCTTCCTCAAAAAGAAACTACTTAGAATAAGAGAAAAGCAGCTCATCTGGAAGGGCACACTTGACTGTCAGGAACCTTTAAGCTACGTGAGTCATAAAAAAGGGTTTTTCTTTACTTTTCCAGAAAACTTGTATACATGGCACAGAGTTTTGTTTTCTTTTTGTTTTTTTCACTTAAAACATGGGCATTCGCATCACAACAGCAGATACACAACTTTAAGCTGCCATTTTAGTAAAATGCACAAATACTAAATAGATTCATTTTCTCCCATGAAGAGGCCCGTGTAAAATCCACATAGGTCACAACTTCCACTGAAAAAGCTTTATTGGAGCTTTGAATTCCATATCTTCACCAGTTTTGCTTGTGGGGTGGGAGGAGGGGAAAGTTTGGTTATAGCGATGTCTCTAAGGGGAGAAAACAATTTCAGGTAACCACAGTGCACTGTCTAGTTTAACGAAGCATTTTATATGTGTGACTTAAACAACAGTGAAAAGTAAAAGTCCTAGTGTTCTTTGACTGTTTAGTAATTGTTGGTATGAGTGTTTTATTAAAAGAAAGTAACAGCTGCTGTGTTTGGTAACATAGAAAAGGTAGGGGGTAAAAATTTGACTAAACTTCACCTTTATACAGTTTCATTGTTTTTAAAGTTATATGCATAATATATTAGTTATAAACGTGTTTTCTAAAAATTTTGATGTTACTCAGTTACATTAGTATAAAGGATATTTTCAGTCCCATAATCCTCACTTAATTACAATGCCTTAAAAAAAATCTACCCTATTGCTCTACTTGTTATATGTCTGTTCATAAAATAAATTCATTTCAATGTTTGTGCCAGTAGTTATTATTGGTGCGTTTTGAACTGAAGTGGTTAGTTTATAGAAAACTAAACCATGAAACAGGATAGTCTGACTCTTGATATCATAAAATATGGTTAAGTGTTCTAGAGATATACAACGTGATTCTGGTTAGTTCAGTCCCAACTATACGAGAAGTTTCGGCATTTATCAACCTATTTTTCTTCATTTAGTGTCTCCTTTACCCATGACAGAGTGGACTTATTCTTTCTATATAGGACTAGCTATATCCAGGAGGTGTTCTTTGCTTTCACCAACACTAACATATTTTATCAACTTTGACTGTAAATATAGAGTCAAGTTCATAACTACTTGTTTGATGCCAATTGAAGCCACAATATGATGGTTTAAATGTAGAAGAAGGCACAAGCAGGTCCTTGGGGAGTCAGGGAGAAATCCATGGAAAGACTTGGAGCTTGCACACTCAATTTCTCCTTCCAACACGTTTTTGTGTTAACTTCATGGCTGCTAAAAACCAAATCAAGTTCAATCCTCACTGACTCAAAGCTAAATTAAACTTTTTTGTGTTTATTAGATATACCTCCATATTTAACGCTCTTTAGAGGAAGGGACCACCTTATTCCTTTAACAGTGAGTATAGAGAAAGCCCATAACAGCATTTCAAATACGGACCTAACTGGACACAGGTGGATTAATTTTTTAAATTTCTTAATACATTCTGCTAACATTAGTTGGTGTATATAACATTATGAGTACAGGACACCAAAATTTAACTGTTAAAGAGAAAGCCAAATTGAGCTACATCTATGACATGTCTGTTTAGTGAAACTAGTTCAACCCATAAAAACACAATCTATTAAAAAGCACTAAAGTCTGGCCGGTGTGGCTCAGTGGTTGAGCATCAACCCATGCACCAAGAGGTCCCCAGTTCGATTGCCGATCAAGACACATGCCCAGGTTGTGGGCCAAATCCCCAGTGGAGGGCATGCAGGAGGCAGCCAATAGATGTTCTCTCTCATCAATGTTTCTGTCTCTCTCTCCCTCACACTTCCTCTCTCCCTAAAATAAATAAAGGGAAGAAAAAAAAACTTTATAAAAAAAAAAAGGCACTAAAACTAGTGGCCAACTTCAAGTTAACATTTGTATTGCTAGCACTGAAATTTCTTCCACTGTTAATCATCGGAAAAAAATGGTAGTGCTTCAATGCAGACAAAATCAATTTTTAACAATGGGAATTGTAACCCATCCATAAATGTAAAATAAAGTTTCATCTAAATCTCTTCTTGCAAAAAAGTATCTTTTGTCTTTCCTTTTTTTTTGAGGAACCAAATTTATCTCCAAAGAAACAACTGCTGAATTTGCGGGACTTTTGAGGTATTTCTAACTGCATGCCTCATTGCCATACAGTTAAATATTTAAACAACAGCTGTTTCCTTTTCCCAAAGACACACGGGGGTTAGGACGGTACTCTGTTTCTGGAGACGACCGAGTCCTCACTCAGAAGCCCTCCAGAGGGTGAGCCTTGGTGCTCTCTGAGGACGCCAGTCGGGGTTTGGCCCCCAGCCACAGAACCCCGGATCCTTTCCACCCACCCCCTTTGGAGAGCGGGTTCTCCCCGTCCAGACGTGCTCGGTAGCAAAGATACCGGGGAAGTGAAAACATGTGCTTAATGACCTACCTAGGTTTCCATTTGGGGGGTTTTATTTAAACAAACAAACAAACAAACAGCTGGGTCCCGCCACCTGAAGTCGCAGGCCCGCCGGCTTTCCCGCCGCCACTCTGCTGGCTCAGCTGGTTGTCATCCAGGTTCTCACCGCTCCGCTCCCCGCTTAACAGACAGCCAATAGCGTGCGCGGACGCTGGGGAGCGTGATGACGTCAGCGCTGACGCCCGCGTGAGGACGCAGGCGGCGTCACCGTCTCCAAGGAGCGGTCCCGGGCACCGGTTTCAAAGTCGCAGGGCGGGCCGAGTGGACTTCCGCTCTAGCCCGGGCCGGCCCGAAGTCGCCGCTCATCCGCGAAGGACGCCGCCACCGGGCCGCCCGCCGGCTCCCTCCGCGCTCTCCTAGGTGGCCTGACACGACCCCGAGCGACCCGCCGCGGGACGCATCCCGGTCCACCCGGCTGGGATTCGTGTGAACGTGGAACAGCATGCACTTGGCGGGTCCCCAGCACCTGAGGTCCGGTCCCTCCTGAGCGAGGGACTCGGCTGGGGCTCGGGAGGAGCGGAGGCGCGGTCGCCGCGTGAGTGGGATGCTGATCGCGCCGCCTGACGGCCCCCAGAGCGTCGCGGCGGTTGTGTTTCCCCGCACGGCGAGCTCTGCGTGCTTTTCAGAAAAGTAAAGGTGGTGAAAGCTCCAAACTCAGATTTCCTCCAAATGGCCACAAACACCGACTCTCAGCGAGAGAAAGGTAAGCTCCATGTGTCTTTATTGAGAGTGCTTATACGTGGTATTTAACGCCGTCGTTGACCAACTCGTATTTTTTGCATGCCTCTTGGGTGCGTGGAAATTTGTAGAAACTTAAAGAAGTCAGCTGCAGAAAAAGCTTGGTGGTATATGTGAGGATGTGTATGTACTTAGGCGGAACCGTTTGGTAAATACTTGCAAGTCCCCCTTAAGCTTCCACGGGACTCTTCCAGACACTAAACGTGTTTGTTATGCTTCTCACATGCTCTGGGGACGTTCGATGGCCGTGGCCAGGAAGAGTTTCCAAGTCTGCAGTTAGAACCTGGGGGCACAGCTCTGGGCATTTGCTCAGAGGATGTTTATTGAAGTCCCCCTTTTCCAATTACGTGCCTGCGCTATGTAAGCGTACCTGCTACCAAGATGAAGAGAGCAGTTCTACCCTCTTTAATCTAGGAGGGAAATATATACATTCCATACATACACTTAAGTGGCAACAACGGCTAGCTCCTCTGCCTCAGTTTCTTCATAGGTTGTTGGCATGATTAAAATAGTGTTAAAAATATGTAAAGGGTTTAGAATAGTATCTGACACATCGTGCTAAACAAATATTAACTAGTAATGTGTTGGCTTATTATGAACTGTGGTCAAGGAAGGTGCCGTTGGATTTGAAGTACTAATATGAATTTACGAGGCATCCCAAATTGAACAGTATTTGCAACATTGAAGGACTAGGAGTATGTTTAGCTAACGACTTGCAAGGAGGTTGGCTTGGATGGAATATGGTTTATATAGACAGAGAAATGACAGGTGCAGATGAACGGGAAGAATGGGGCTAGGTGGTCAAGGGCATTGTTTGCTGTGTGTTAAGGAGTTTGGACCATTGCACAGGTTACAGGATCCACTGAAAAGAAATCAGTTGAGAATAACAAGATCAAATTGTGATTTGGAAAGCCCAGAGTGGCTGTTATGGGGAACATGCATTATAGCACAGTGCAATTAGGTGACTCTCATCCAAGTAAGAAATGAACTGAGGTTGGTACAGTAAGGTTGGAGATTAGGGGATTTGGGAGAAAGAGGTAGAGGGCAACCAGGTTTTTGGTTTGAGCAAGAGGGAAGACAGAGGGGAAAATGGTAGGTTCCATTTTGGAAGCATTATAGACCAGTGGTGAAGAACTGAACCTCTGGATTCAGTCTGGCCTCATACCTTTGCTCTCTCTTTCCAGGTCTTTGACCTTGGGCAAGTTAGCTAGCTTCTCTGTGCCTTGGTTTTCTCATTGAAAAATGGGAAAATAGCCCTGGCAGGTTTGGCTCAGCGGTTAGAGCGTCGGCCTGCGGTCCGGAGAGACCCGGGTTCGGTTCCCGCTAAGGGCACGTACCTCGGTTGCAGTTTGTCCCCGGCCCTGGTTGGGTCGTGTGGGTGGCAGCCACTCGATGTGTCCCTTTCACGTCGATGTTTCTCTCTCTCTCTCCCCCTCCCACACTCTATCTAAACAACAAATGAAAAAATGTCCTCGGGTGAGGATAATAAAAAAAAAAAGAAAAATGGGAAAATAGCACAATAACCCTCATTGGGTTGTTGGGAGTACTAAATGAGATGATGCAAATAAAGCACTCTACATGGTGTATAGCACATATTAAGTGCATAGTATATATTATCTAAAATCATTAATGACACAGTAATACTATAACATTAGCATTATTTCTCAGGTTTGAAGTGGGAATATCACCCACCCCATAAGGAGGACTAGCTGAACACCATCTGAGTGTTGAGGGGCATGAGTTGGGTGGTGAAGAGTTTGGCTGAATGGGGAGAGTACCTGAGGCAGTCAGAAACTATGAGTTTTGTGGGACTGAGCCAGCCAAAATTGTTAGATAAAAATGAAGTCCAAAAATCAAATAAGATAGTAGTAGCAGAGTAAATTATTTATTGAAAAAAGAGTGGTCATTTACTAGAAGAGAAGTTGAGCGGAAGAAAGGAATCTCAGACTGAGAGCAGAAGCAGCATAGGCTCTGAGGTTTGAAATAACTGCCTCTTCAGGAAATTGTCTGCATGAGGAGATAAGGATCAGTGAGGGATGTCGATGACCTTCCACTTCTTTTCCTTTAACTGTATCTAAGATGCCCATTATAGCTGGTAGTTTTCCCTACTAGACAAACCACCTAAACATCGACTAGGTAAACAGATGCTTGCCCTTCTCCCACCTACCTCTGACCTTCTCTACCTTGGCTTCTATAGATCTTGATTGCCTCTTCTCATTTGTTCCATTTGGATTTGATAGCCTCGCTCAAGACAATTTGATTTGGTACTTTTCACCTGGTGTCTCCACATGCTGCCTCCTTACCATAAAACATTAGCTTACACGTCATAGCCACCCAGGCTTTTGGTAAACTCCTAGCATATCTGCAGTAGTACACCATTCTTCCACCTACACCTAAAAAATGAAGAATCTGTTCTTGTAGTGGGGATATGGGCAATGGGGATTTGGGCAGTAGAGATCGACTTATTTTTTCCTTTCATTCTCTTATCAGTGTCTTTCACAGAGCAGACTTTCTAATTTTGATTAATTTCAATTCATCAATTTGTTTTTTTATGGATCTGTGTCCTATCTAAGAAACCTTTGCCTAACCCAAGGCTGCAAAGATTTTCTTCTGTGTTTTCTTCTAGAAGTTTTGTAGTTTTAAAGTTATACATTTAGATCCACAGTCCATTTTGAGTTAAACTTTATACAGTTGGAAGCTCATCTTTTTGCATATGGATGCCCTATTGAAAAGTATATCGTTTCTCCATTGGAGTACCTGCACCTTTGTTAAAAAATCGCTTGTCTGTATTTGTGTAATCCATTTCTGGACTCAATTCTATTCCATTAATCTGTTTGAAGTTTTATAGTAAGTCTTAAAATCAGACACTTGTTAGCCTTTCAAATTCATTCTTTTTTTCACAGTTGTTTTGGCTATCCAAGGTCCTTTGCACTTCCATGTAAATTTTAAAAACAGCTTGTCAATTTCTACAAAAAAGATGCCTGGATTTTGATAGGCATTGCATGGAGCCAATTTGTGTAGAATTCATATCTTAATGATATTAAGTTCTCTGATCAGTGAAAAGCTGTATATCCTTTCCCCTCCCCCCCTTTATTGATTTTTAGAGAGGAAGTGAGAGGGAGAGAGAGATAGATAGAAATATCGATGAGAGAAAACATCGATTGGCCACCTCCTGCATGCCCCCCACTGGGGATTGGGCCCATAACCCGGGCATGTGTCCTGACCGGGAATAGAACCGGCAATCTCTTGGTGCATGGGTTGATGCTCAACTACTGAGCCACACCAGCTGGACTGTGTATCTATTGATATATCTCTTCATTAATTTCTCTCAGCAATATTTGATAGTTTTTAGTATGTACATAGGTTTGGCATATCTTCTATTAGATTTATCACTGTGTATTGCTGTTTTTGATACTATCATAAATGGTATTATTCTTTTACTTTCTTTTTTTTTTTTTTTTTTTTTTTTTTACGTGCCCCTAGCGGGAACCGAACCCAGGACTCTCTGGTCCGCAGGCCAACGTTCCAACCGCTGAGCCAAACCGGCCAGGGCTACTTTCATTTTTTGATTTATCATTGCTACTATATAGAAATTATTTTTCGCCAATTGTACCTTGCAACCTTTCTAAATTCACTTATTAGTTCTCGTAGTTTTTGTTTTTTTTTTTTGTAAAGTCCGGAGATTTTCTACATAAACAATCTTTTCATCTTATAAATAAAGACAGATTTACTCCTTTACAATTTGAATTACTTTCATTTAATTTTCTTGCCTTATAACACTGATTAGAATCTCTAGTACAGTTCTAAACAGAATTGGTTGGAGTAGACATCCTTGTCTTCTTCCTGGTTTTAGAAAGAAAACATCTGTCTTTAAAAATTAAGTATGATACTAGCTGTAAGTTTGTCATTGATGTTCTTAAAAGGCTGAAGATGTTCCTTTCTACTCCTAGTTTTCTGAGAATTTTTATCAGAATGGATGTCTGATTTTTTCAAATGATTTTTCTGGCCCTGGCCGGTTTGGCTCAGCAATTAGAGCATTGGCCCGCGGACCAGAGAGTCCTGGGTTCGGTTCCCACTAAGGGCACATACCTCAGTTGCAGTTTGTCCCCAGCCTTGGTTGAGGTCATGTGGGTGGCAGCCAGTTGATGTGTCTCTCTCGTATCAATGTGTCTCTCTCTCTCTTCCTCCCTGTTTCCCTCCTGCTCTGTCTGAAGATAAATGAAAAAATGTCCTTGGGTGAGGATTTAAAAAAAAAAAAAAGATTTTTCTGAATTTGCTGAGATGACAAGATGTTTATTCATTTTTATTTTGTTCATAGGATGATTTACATTGATTAAATTTCAAATGTTAAGCCCCTTTCTTTCTTGGTCTCGATGTATTATCCTTTTTATATATTGTTAAATTTGATTTTCTAAAAGTTTATTTGAAATTTTAACATCTATGTTCATAAAAAACTATGTTTTTTCTTTTAATGTCTTTGATTTTGGTATCAGATAAAACTGTTCTCATAGAATTATTTGGAAAATATTTTGTTCTCTTCAGTATTCTGGAAGAGTTTATGTAGAATTGGTATTATTTCTTCCTTAAATGTTTGATAGAATTCACCACTGAAGCCAGTTAGACCTAGAATTTTCCTTGTGGAAAGATTTTAAACGATAAAGTGGTTACTTGTTCTGTACTTGAGAGAGACCCTCTGCAGATCTCATATGTCCAGAAGTCCGCCTCTGTGCGACTTTCTCTTTACACTTTGAGCTGCCTGTTTTAATTGACTTGGTCTCCATCTATTCAGCTCCTTCACCTTAACTCAGAAAGTCTGCAGACTTATGCCTGCATTTTCCCTCCCTGTGTCATGGCCTGAAAAGTCTCTCATGTCATTAACTGGGGCAGTCATATTTTTCACCTTATTTGTTTTATGTCTCTCATATTATTGTCTGATGTCCAGTGTCTTGCAAATCATCGTTTCTT